AATAACTTAATCTATATGGTATATTTATGTAGAATAATTAATTGTATTAAGCTTATAAATAATATGTGTATACATTATAATTTCATTTATAAAGTCTAATAACCTAAAAACTGTATAGTTATCTGTTTTTTTTTTTGACAAAAAGGAGGTTATCTTATCGTTTATTTAGATACATGTTCAACCTTAACGTACTATCTGTTATTGTATCTAGATAATTTTAATGTTATCTGTGCACAGCATTGTCTAGAAGTCTTAATTTATTTAATTCAATGTTAGTTTTATTATTTTTTAAATTTAATATTCGTCTTATAAAAGAAAATTGTAATCTAATTACTTGTTCACCTAGTGATCTAATTATTGTATATTTGATAAGGTATATTTAAATATCTGAATGAAATACATCAATCTTCTTTATTAACATAAATTTCATAACGAATAATAATTGATTCTTCATCACGAAAGTAGCAAAACCCTAGATATTATATTACAAAATGTACAAATATGTCATTTTTTTTAAAGTTCTAGCTATTATACGTACTATTATATTGTAACAAATTGTTGAACAATACATTTTAAGGGCAATTTAAAAGATATTCAGTTAAGCAAACAATTATCATGGAGTATAACTTTTGGCAATATCTTTATTTACTTGCTCACCATTTCTTTAAACATAAACTCAGAAAATAAATACTTGCAATCTCAAGTTAAGCAATTATATGAAATTGAAAAATGAATCAATGTAAAAGATAAATGATAAGATCACCTATTGTCACATGACATAGTTCGTTACCAGACACGCTTGTCTTTTGATAATAGTCGTTCATAATATTATTATAAATAATTATAATAAGTCACGCAAAACATGATATTTTATTCCTAACAAATTACAATTATAACTCATAAAAAATGCATCAATTCACGGACTCCAGAATCCACTATATGTACTTAGTACTTACCACTGATAGATTTTTTTTTATTAAAGAATGAATATCAATAGAAACTAATTTTTCTCATCCATTGTAGTATTATGAATTATGATTATAATAACACTAATCGATGTAAAGTCGTCACCGGCTTATAAAACTACAAAGTGAGAACGTTATTTATTTCGATATTTAAATTATTCACATTATAAGTGCATCAGGAATTAATTTTTTTTTGACCGACGGCATTCAACTGCCGGGTACAAAATTATAAAAAGTTGATAAAGCTGATCTGGTCTGAATTTACGTTCAACAAAGGTTCTTCAAAATAAAAACCGGGCCAGATCTGACGTTTTTTATGCAATGTAACACGGCTAGAGGACAAGATATAATTCAATTTATTAATTACAGTTTAAAATGTATTATTTATACGTTATTATCAAGTAATAATTATCTTAGTATACTGTTGTGCATACAATACAATATAGGTATTAATTACCACTTTACCGGTGAGACAATCGAGAGAGTCGCCGAGCAGGAGCGACAGACCGAAAAGCTGAGAATTTCCAGTTCAGAATTTTACGTCAAAGGTTTTTATTTTAATATTTTATTCCACAGCTTTTTCCTTTATTTTCCAAATGAGTGGATAGAGAACAAAATTAAGTGGTTCCGTTTCGGAAAATAGATCCGAAGAAAAATATTAATTTTATTTTGATGGGTACAACTGCTGCAGGTACATGTAGGTAACTGCTATTATAGAAGGGCATATTCCTTAACACACTGAAATGGAACTGTATAAATGCATAAAAATTACGTCTTAATATATATATGTATTATATATGCATTGAACACGCACAAGTGAATAATTAATGGACATCAGATAAATGCAGTCTAGACGTAGGAATATAGTGTATAATATAGTAATGTGTAGCAAGTGAAAAATGCCATTAATACAAGTATTAACAATTTTACGGAACATATTTCAAAATTAAAATAGTGAAAATGTAAAATGTATACATGAAACCACAAGAAAAAAAAATAATAATTATGTTCAAAATCTGATTAAAAATCATGATGCAACGACTTTACTAAATCGATACCGGCTTCCCTGCAAAAATTCGTTAGTCTTAAAATTTATATTTTTTTCTCTGAAATGGATACACTGTATTTTTCTACATAATATCTTGATATCATGATAACCAACATTAATTTACAGTTATTTCTTATTATTATGATAAAATACAAAATATAAAACCCCGTGTCTTGGATCCTCGATCAGCAAACCTAAAACGAATGTAAAAACTCTATAGCCAACCACGGGTTTTCGCTTCTCTTGTAAAATGTTATGAAAATTACAGAAGAGGTTGTGCCCCAAAGTCGACGATATTTTGCAATCATATCATACCAAAATAATTAAATAATTATAAAATTATAATGTCTAGAAGTTACATAAGTTGAAATCAGAAAAGAAACAAATATCGATGTGTGTGTGAAATTGAAATTAAAATCAAAATTTTTTAATTGATTTCAAGAAAGAATTCACCTAATATTATGAAAAATAATTTCTACTGATAACTTTTGTAAGTATATTGGACTTGCTTATAATAATATATAGTTATACTTATAGTACAATTTAAACTTTCCAGTTTAAACGATAACGAAACGTCAGTAGGTCTGACAAGGTCAAAGATTACCGAAGAAAAATATATATTACGTTAAATATATATGTAGGTACGTAAAAAGTTCTATTGCTATTATGTTTCATATACATTTATATATAATATAGGTACATATAGTTTTACTAGAAATCTCAAAACGCCTGCAATACTATTATTATTCAAAATGTTATTAATTAAAAAGAGTTTAAATAGTTATGTCTCAAAAAATGTTTTTGAATATGTCTACGATCACTTATGATCGTTGAAAGGATTTACAATTTATATCATATGCTTATAAAATAATCCTCTAATTGGCAAATTTTGATGAAACATGAATAAATATACTAAATAATATTACAGAGTTTAGCATCAGTAAGCAGAAAATGTATTTTATCGGAGTAGCAAAATTACAAATATTGTGATATTTAATATTTACGATTGATATATTTTCTGATTTGTATAATAGTTATTGTGGTTTACTACTCATTTATTATTATTTTTTTTTTTTGTTTATCAATAAATTTATTTAGAACACGGAAATTATAAAAATTGATTGACAAGTATAGATTAGTACCTATGCAATATTATGAACTTTTAATAGTTTTTGAATTATAACACTGTTCAAAAATAATTTTGTCTCCATCATTTCGAGTTCGTATCTCGATTAATATAGCATAGACATTTTAACAGCTCGACCTACAAATATACTGAAAGCAATATTATTTTCGTTCTAAACCCAACTGCATAAAAAATTGATTTCAATATAATAATATATAGATAGGTACCTAACTTTAAATCTAATGTAATAAGTAATCAAAACTGTGAAGTCTATTGTTCTCTCTTTACCTAATATTTAATAAGAAGATTAAGGAACTATAACTTCGGTCAGTAATTATTTTACACAACTCCTAGTGGTGCCTACACATAATACACATCCTATAAATTATAATATGTAAGCACATTTTGCATTCAATTCTCGTCTTACATAAAATTTATTTTTCATATTATATTATTTTAATAGTTTATTATTGTTTTTTTCTTTCGGGAAATCGTGCATACTATACTGTTATGGGTGTATTATTATTATTATTATTATTATTATTATTTTGTTTGTATATAGATACTAAATTACTTTATTCCAAGTATTGTTTTAGATCGTCGTTGTCAACAATATACATTGCCTGCCAATAAATAAAAAAATACCGGTAACAATATTACATATATGTACTTATACGTACCTCTTATACCTAATCATTTTGATAGTTCACACTTATATATACTTAAAAAATAGAATTTGTACAAACAATTAAATAAGAATATAACTATAAACGCAACCTAAATAATATTTTAAGACATAAGGCAAGATAGAATATTATGGAGCCTTTACTATAACTCAACAGTAGCGTTTCTACACCCTCTTCTACTGCAGGTGGTTGACCCCCCACCCATGGCATGACTCGAATTATTTAAAGCAAATTAATAATTACAATTTATAAATGTTGGTCTCAATCGACCACATGAAAGTTTAAATTTGTAGACTCCTCCACCATACAATTATAGTGCGGGATAATCAACCATTCGAACTCAAAGTTTTCACAAACACGATAACAATGTAATAATTTTTAATCTTTACAGATTTGTAGTAAACATTACGTAGGTATATTATTTAAATAATTGAACATATATTTTTTAATATTTATAATTTAAAAAAATGCATTTTTATGTATTGTAAATTCCGAGGTCCCCTAATAACGGTGGCCATCTGTCTATGATCGGTTATCTCAATCGTAAATGATATTATGTCTTTCATCTGACGATTTTCGGATGAAAAACATTTTGTAGCGAATATACTCATATAATTATAGTTTATTAACATCTTAAAACGTGTACGACAATAATAATATTATTATTATTAGTAGTAGTATACCTATACTATCGTCGTTGTTTTCATCGCGGTCGTCGACGGCGGGTGAGGGCATCATACAATGAGGGGTGGATAATATTATATTAATAATAATATATTATTATTATTATTATTATTACTACGGTCGTGCTTGTGTCGGCGGGCGGGCGAGACGAGCGACGTCGAGCCGCGGGCCGCGGGGGGGACGCGAGTGAAAACTGTACACCGCGCGAAGACTAGTATGGCGACGGGGTCGCAGCGTTCGGCAACCGTCGGCACCCGTCGGCCTCGGTCGTGCGGCGGCGGCGCGGTCGATGGGTTGTAGAAAAACAACAAAAACGAAACGAGAAAAAATACACAATATATATATATATATATATATATATACCGTAATACGACCACCGCCGCCAGCGCTCACGAGGAAGGCGCCGCCGCCGCCTTGCCGAGGCAACGACCAGCAAGGCAGCAGCGCGGGCAGCGGCGGCGGCGGCGGCGGCGGCGGCGGCGGCGATAGTCCTCGCACGAACCCCACCACATTCGGGTCGGGCACAATCATGCGTCCCAAGCCGGAGCGCGTCGTTACCGCGACCGCAGTCTCGTCCCCGTGATAACGCCGACGACATCGTTTTGCCAACGTTCGGTCGCGACCACACGACGACGCCGTCGTCACTCATTGTTCCGCCGTTTCATCGTTCGGTCCGGTACGCGGTAACAACAACTGCTTCGATTCAAATATTTAATAAATCCGTGCGACATGTCGTCGTCGTCACCGTGGACGACGACAACGGACGACCGTAACGATTATTATCGTCGCCGCCGCCGCGTACGCGTAACCACAACCGCCGATGACGAAGCGACAACAATATAAATAACATTACAACACCATAGGTATTCGATAACAATAATTATTATTAACTAATTAATCGATTAACAGATCGGTGGTAGGTGTCGTCGCGACGATAATCGTTTTTTTTGTAACGCAATTTCGCTGGCCGTTGGCACGCGCGCGAGTGACGAGTGACGAGTGACGACGACGGCCGCGGACAACCGGACCCGTCGTCTCGTACGCCGCCTCGGTGGACATGGTCACGCCGAACGTTTGAACCGGTCAACGACGGACACGAAATAAATAATAATAATAATATTATTATTTACAATCACGATTTACAGTGAGTAGTACATCACTTACCCCCCGACCACCTATACATTTTTCTTCTCGGTCTGGTTCTCGAAAATATTTTTTTATTGTCCTTTAGGTCCTTTAGTACGACCTAGGTACTCGTCCCGAGTTGTAGTGGATTCGGGACAGTGTCCCGATTTATTTATTATTACATTCACGGGACGTGAAAAACACACAACGCATTATTAGCATTGCAATATTAATTTAAAAATAATAATTATATATTATAAGAATAATATTTGGGGAACAATATTAATAGTGGGACGATATTTTATATCGTGCGCTGGGCATGCTTGTTACTGGTAGGCAGGTATATAAATAATTAGTTGCTGGTACTGGAACGCGAAATTCGCGCAAATATTAGCCCTAGGAAGTCGGTAGGATCCTTAAAATTGACCTTAGCTGATAGGATATCCGGAGCATCCTTGTTTCCTGCACTAATGAGTTTAGATAGTAGTGCTGAGTTTAGTCGGAATTCTACAACAGACTGTTGTTACCTAGATTTATCCGTTCCACGAGGAATTTTAACGGATTGTTACCGTAAAACATTAAACTCTCGTTACCAGGTGGAATATCATTGTTATTTGTTATTATTATAATATTAATTGCGGTACGTGGGTAGGTACACATCTGAAGAAATCCTACGCGAAACGTTTAGGACCGATCCTAATTATACGGACCCACGTAGAATTTTTAAGACTGAAAAATGGGTTAAAACTGCCGGGTACCCACCGAAGTATAAATTGCGCCCTTGATGGGCTATAATATGCGGGTAACACTTCAATAGACGATACATCATGTCGTTTACCTGATTGAAGAGCGATTTCGCGCAATTTTATAATAATATTGTTTAAATAAAATAATACTATTTTGTATTTACCTAGAATTTCCAGCAAATTGTGTGATTTAATCAATTGTATGCGAATTTACGACGTATTTCGTCTACTTACCTAAAATTAATCATTCGACTTATTAATTAGTAGTTACGTCATGATACCGACTGCCCATTATCGCCATGGAAAATGTTGTAGTATTATGCATACCGTGAATCATGTATAATTAATTTAATAATAAACATATTTATCTAACCATTGAAAAAAATGAGAGCAGGATGTTCAGGCGATAGTTCCCGAAAATAGTCGTTTTTTTCCTCGTCTCGATGGTCATTGTTCGCTAAATGAGAGAGTTCAATGATGTATAAAACAGCTACAGCAGGAAGCGCGCAAGTCGCAATTCACTCAGTTCTTATTCTATCATAATAAACCTGAGATTGAAACCAATTAAAATATGACGTGTAGGTTTTTTATTCTCATCTCCAAATATCGAGACACAATAATTCCTGGTTAAAATTTGATAGAAATAAAATACTATTATACCTATAATAGGTACATAATTTCTAAACTACTTTAATCTCGAATTTAAATTAGTTTATAATGGACAATTAATGCATTTTTTGTATTATGTATGTCTGCGTACAAGCTTAAAAAAATAAAAAATATTGTTTGGTCTTTTTCAAATTACTAAAAAAAATTGTTTCATACCTATAGGTACATTCAGTCGCATGTAGCTCTTAGAATAAGTAATGTCAATGTGTGTAAAATTGTAACATTGTACAATTGTTTGGCTTTAAATATAGTGTTGATTGATCTATTTCTATCAAGATATTTTCTATTCAATATAATAATTAATAGCTTCAGTCGTACATCATTTGGATCACACGTGGTACCAATACATTTTATCGTCTAAACTACCCATTGTATAGTTCTGTGCTCGATTTTACTCTTTCAAAGCGTCGACTTTATTGACCTTTTTTTACTTTGCAGTATTGTTAAAATTGAAAACTCGGTTGCTCTACTGTAAAAAAATAAAACCTGTATATTCCGAAGCTGATATATTAACAAAAATTGATTTTCTAAAATTTAATTTTGTGTTAAAAATAACTTAACTTAGTAGCTATACATAATATATTCATTCTGTAATTTTATATCAAGTGATAATAATAGAATATTGTGTTAAAAAAATTTGATCTGAAAAACAAATAAAAAATTCACTAAGTATATTAATTTTTGTTTTAAATTTACAACTAAATTAAAAATTAATTTTGGTCCTTTTCACGTAATTTTTAGTCATCGTTTGTTATATTTTTATTTTAGCCTTTATTAAATTGTTATATGAAAAATAAAATACAACGGGGCCGTCTATTTTACTTGTTAACATTTAGGTACCTAATTAAAATGTAATTTTTTTTTAGTTACTTTCAATTTCACAGTAAAAATTAAAATGGTAAAAAAAAAAATACTTTATTATTTATATAGTGAAATTATAAACATAAAATATAATATTAATCTCAATCGGAATCAGAATTATCTGCCTAAGTAGGTATAGGCATTTCTCAATATTGTTTACAACTTTTTTTTTTATAGTAGGTATAGGTAGTATCAAAATCATATCCTTTCCCTTAAACTTCTACTAAAAATAATTGTACGAGAATAAAAATATAAAATATACAGGTAAGTTATGTTTCATCAGTTTTAATTATGATGTAATGTAGTATTGTTATATTGTATAGAATTATATTGATGAACTAATGCGCGTGTAGGTACCTACATTATTTAGAATGATTAGGAATCGATTATTACGCTTCAGTAGTTTGATACTTTTATGTTAACCTTGTCCATTAGGTTTTTTGTTATGTTTAATATATATCTGACTTTATACCTATACAACTATTCATGTAACTCGATTTACTTATTATTTTATGTTGTGATAGCTGTGTATACTTAAGGGGCCTGATACCGGTTTTAAAATTTTCCGCAATTCTATAAATTTTGAATATTATATTTTATATTTTAGTTTATACTTTAATTATAATACTTTTCCACACTAATCTATTGCTCGGAACTATTTGAGATTGGAGGGAGGTTGATACGGTATATTATATCGAAAAAAATTACTTCACAGGAAATGAATTCTCAAGCCTTATAGAATTGTCGGATTTTCATAATTATTTTTTTTATCTAAAAAAAGAATATTTCCTGCATTGAACTCCGATTTTTATTTTATTTCAATTAATGGTATAATATAATTTGTAAGCAAAATAGCTTAAAATTTTTATTATTTTTAAAGACATAATATTATTATGTTTGAGATTAAAATATTGAAAAACGGAGTTCAATGTGGCACTAAGAATATTACCTTCAAATTAGTAAAAAAAAAAAAATGTTTCAAATTTGGTTGATTCTACTTATAATATGATCATTATATCCGTAGAACGTATTTTTGTGGACAAAATTATATTGGAACTGGGTGCTTATTAATACATTTTTTTTTAAAAACTTTTTCATTTCGAAATTCGAAATTAAATCCTATTAAATTATAATATTTAGTTATTATTATTGACTTATTGTATAGTTCGGGGGAATCTTCTACATTTTTAGTCGACTTCTTCAAACAGTATTCTGAACAACTTTGTCTAACAAAGCTGAGTGTATATACAGTCTACTTACACGTACCTATTGATGCTGAAAGACACACTATAGTTGTATAATTAATATTCGTAACACGTCGTGTTTTACAAACGAACTGAATTGTATTTATTTATTTATTTATATTCTTCCGATGGAATGTTTATTTGATTTCATTTTAATTTTATATAATTTTCTCTGTAAAATCTTTACAGCATAAGCGCTATGCCATAATTATCACAACTTTATTTGCAATGCATAACGACATGATTAAAATTAAAATTAAAATAATAATAATAATATTCTCGACCATTACTGAAATATTTACGAAATATAGGTGTATTATACATGTTTACGTACCTTTATGTGACACTTTTCCCATTGAAAACTTGAGGTTGAATTCGGAATTATTGAATTATGTATTATATATTTGCTTAAGAACTACAAACATTTACAAACATCATAATAATTTATAATAATATGTACCTAACTCGCGTAAAATTTATCTGTTCATCATATTTGTTATGCTATTTTTGTGTAACTAGCTAGACTACTGCGTATTATAATAACACTTAAAACGAATAATTTAGTACTGAGTCACAACTACCTACTTTGAGTGAAAAAAGGGAAAAACTTAAAGTTAAAAATATGCAAACATTTACGAAAGTTTTCTTTTGTTCGGTATACTTGTAAAAAATAACTAGAAAAAAAATTACTAGCTAAACAATATTCTACGCACCAGGTTTAATACTTTAAATTGTATTTTTTTGTTACATTTCAAAAATGTAAAACGTTAACATTGACCGATATGTACAAGCAACCTTTATAAAAAAACAAATAGTCTATAGGTACGTTTTTAAAATAAACATAACCAATAACGTTTTCTTAACACCTATCTATGCATATTCACTAACGGCGGATTTACTTTGTCAACAAAGTTAAATTTATGTTAAAGAGCGTATAAAACGTTTATAAATGCCGGAATAAATATGAAAAACTGCAAATGCATTTATCTCCTTTATAAATAGGCAGTTGATATTATTAAACGACATTTTCATATAACTTTGAAATATGCAGGTAGGTGTAGGTCATACGTTTTTTTTACATACAAACTACGTGGTACAGGTGACAGCAGGGTACCCACTAAATATTGAGAAAATCGAAATCTCAAATAAAGTATAATAATTTTATTGTTGTTGTGGTTAGTAGTTTTGTTTTTTGTTGGTAAAAGTATTTTGTTAGTTAGTATCGTTATTTGCAATTTAAACACATTTTTGTTAAGTAAAACAAAACGTGCTAAATCTATACAATTAAAACAAAACAAAAAACTGAGTAAAAGGTAGGTCTACTTAGGCGAGGTACTAAGCAAACCGAAATAAAATAAAATAAACTATATTATACCTATAATTTACTTTATACCTGCGTGTTTTCCCCTGTAATTTCATGTAATAATTCATAAAAAACACAAAACATCGTAATTTTTTATTTGAATATTTATGTTAAACATTTGCAGATCACTAAGTGAAGCAGCGCCATGGCGTCATCGGTAGCCGTATCGTCAATAATATTTTTTACATGCTTGGCATGCTACTACAACAGTCTCTACTGCGACTTCGTGTTCGATGACATTAGTGCTATAAAAGACAACCGAGATCTAAAACCTCAAACTCCTGTATGGAACATATTTTACAACGATTTTTGGGGCACGCCAATGCACAAGGTAAAATATTCCTACAAATATATAAAAACAAATATCTATAAGTATTTTTTTTTGTTTTTATTTCGTTTAATTTTATCTTATTTTATATTTTAATACAAACCGTCTATATCTATGAAGTGACTTCCCGTTGTTTTCTTTTTATTTATAAGAACACTGTAGGTAGGTATAGATAATAATTGTAGTTTTGTATTTCAACGTTTTTTTCTTTTTTTTTCAGGAACAAAGTCATAAGTCATATCGACCTTTAACGGTTTTAACGTTCAGATGGAATTACATGATCCATCAGTTGGAACCTATGGGATATCATCTTGTGAACATACTACTCCACGCCATAACAAGTGTTCTCTACTATCGGTGAGTTTTAATCATGTACCTGTTATGTAAAAACACATTTGTTGTACCTAGTTAAAATTGAGATAAAATTGGATTATGGAAAAACATTTATTACAAAATCAAAGAAAAGGATTGTAATTTATCCACTTTTGTGGTGCAAATCTCATTAACTATATTACAACTTTGTATTCACACACGTGAATCTGAGAGCCATGTCTAGCTGTGTGGATTACAAAATGCGTAGAATTTGACCCCGTACAAAATACTCCTTCCATGATAAAATTATTAATCCCAGCAACAGTATTCGAAAAACAAAACTTTGTGAAAACTTTGCACCTCCTAAAACCACTATGGGCCCTAGAACTTTGAACGACTCTATACCTTAGAATTCCTTATAATTTACATTTATCCTTTTATACATTAATAATTACCCGCACATACATTTATTTTTTATCAAACCGATGTAATAGTTGGTGCCTACACTACAGGAGCTTTAAATTAAATACGCGTTAAATTTGTTTAAAAACGTATTCCGACAGATGCTCGTTTCATATTATTCAATAAATGGAATAAAATTATATTTCCAATTATGTTTTTACATTCAACTAACAATAATCTCTATATACTCCAAAATTAAATAAAAAATATTATTGTTAGGTGTGAAAGTTAATATTTTGTATTTTATTAGTATATACCTGCACGTTTATATTTAATAATATTATAATCATAATGTATTTGATATTTATGCTCTTAATATAAAAATGAATATGATATTGAAATTTTAATTTAATGTCAATTTTAATGCTCTATCAGAGCAAGAAATGTAGCCGTTTATTTTTAAATTATGTAAACTATATAGGTATAATATTATACTAATGAACTAAATTATTGTTAACTTGCTGTGGTTGAAATGTATATATTTCTATAATAGGTATATCTAATATTAATATCTTATATTTCTATATGATCTAAATAATTGCAAATCTGAATTTATGTAGAATATACAATATATTTTAAAGGAATTCCCTTATACGGCCTCATAACTATGTATATACTTATACTATATACATTTGTTACTTCTAAATGATAACGATAAATTATGTACTTCTGAAGTATTTGAATTGCTCAAATAATTTATTTTTCAAAGTATACTTGGATGCCCTCAATAATTATATTTGATTGATTTAATTATGTTACCCTCGACGTTACCTAAATGTTATCTAAACGTATTTCTTTAGTGAAAAATAACATACGAAATATTCTGATTCTATAATTCCGTCACTAGTTATTGAACAACGAAAAAAACCACTAAAAAAAATGTATCCCGTTACATATGCGGCTTGGGTTTGTGGCACATATTTCGATTAAACAGTTGGAGCTAGCTACCTTCCCGGTCCCTTGGTATTTCAAAAAAAAATGAACCTCCTAAGTAAAATAATCTTTGGTATGTATGTATCTCCTCCATTCCAGTACATTGAAATATGTACTCGTATATTTTAAAAACTAACATATCCATGCGTAAACATAAACGTTTTGTTTACATTTTAATTTTATTAAGTATGAACATGTTTATAAAATATTGCTAATAAATAATAAGTATGTTCGATTGCTGGGGGGGGGGGGGGGAGGAGGGGATTATCAAATTTGTTTTCCTTGGTGGATCAATAATATTTTCTCGACTGCAGCTCTGCAGTTATGAAATGAAAAACTTAATCTGCATATGGTCGTACTTAAAATGATTTTATTATTTATATTTATACCTATATATTGTTGTTTAATCATATATGTATGTATATATATATATATATATATATATATATATTATGTTTAAAGTCTTAAAACATTTAAATAACTTAGTCTTTCCAAAGTTTTTAAATATTTCACTGTGTCTTATTATTATTGTTATATTTTTCTTTTATTATGTATGCATAATAAGTATATCATTTTTATTTAATGTAAAATTATTTATTACTGACAACTTATATTAATATAAAATGAAATAAAGTTATTTAATTATGAAGCTTAGAGGTTTGAGTAGGGTCATATCCTATCATTATTACTTCATTCATCTTACCGCCCATACTAACGGATCTTAATATTCAATTATTTATAGGTGTAGCTACCTAACTGAAAGTTTACGGATATAAAAGAAAAATAACCAACAAATTTCTCAAATTTGAATTATAATAATATATGTATGAACAGGTATAATATTCATTTTCAAGTAAACTCAATAGTTTAAATCTAGTTTAAATATAAAAGCTCATTTCATCTCAAATTCGTACCTGCAGGTATTTAAAATAGTGCCTATGCATTTTATCTTATTACTTTGGAGTTTCCAACAGTATTATTAATCAACACGTGCAACAACGATCTTAATATTAATTGTATTTAAATATACCCCAGGAAACGTTATGAATAATTAATACGTATAAAACGCATGCTATCAACAATATGAGTTATATTATATATATATCTGATGATAAACCGTAATAACTAATTAAGTATATAGGTACCCACATTGAATCGGTAGAAACGAAAGATCCTTTTCAGTTTACTATGCGGCTTATACTGCAGTAACAAATTTCTTGGCTGGAATCCCATGTTTAATCGAGACAACACAACGACGTAATCCAGACGAATTTCCGACAGCTCCCATTTATCGTATTAATTTTAACAATTTTTCATACCTAAATTAAAGCGCTTTTTCATCGTTCACAGTGGATACGGGAAAAACAATTCTTTGTGTTCGTTCACGCAAATTATTATAAACTTTGTTCATTTTAACAATAATCCATTACTAGTAATGGAAGAAGAATGTTTATGAAGCTAACATTCAGTCTGACCATATAACAATAATATAATATATATAATTATAGTCTTTGTGCACTTTATATTTGGAACGCAAACCATTAAAGCCTATTAAGAAACTGTTTACCAAGGTTTATGGCCGTCCGTAGACTTGTTCCCTGTCATCCACACGCTTTATCGTTTTGACAAATTTCTTTACACTCGGTGGTTTTCTTAATGTTTACTTCACTTTTATTTTCTGCTTCTTATCATTCATATAAATTAAACATGTAAGCAATTTCTCAGAAATTTATTTGCTTTTATTTCTTAATATCCGTACAAGATACAAAAATAATTTATGTAAGGTGAATACTTAATAGGTACGTTTAATTTTTTAATTAAATTACTGAAGATATTATTACAATTTAACAAAATATGTTATCAACGTGTTCAAAAACAATTTGTTGGAGTTCACCTATTTGATTTATAACGAGTGATTTGGTAAAAAGAATGTTCAACTTTCAGCTCGATGGTAATAATTAGGTACACTATATACCTTATGTTTATTTAAACATGGTACTATGTCGTAGCCCATAAGTCATAACCCAACTCGAAAAGAAAAGTTTCGTAAACTTCTAATTTACTTAACTTTTATTACTCTTATTCATTGTTCATTGGTGATGATCAAATAACTTTTAATATTTTGTGATATACATTATACAATATATTATAATAAGTAAACACCATTAGGATCCCATGTATTATTAAGGGCAGGCTTAACCATTGTATTTTGGTCGCCGGAAAATTATTACCCTTTCACACCCTTCCTGCGCCCTTTCAAGGGTTATTTTCACTTTCTTTTGTCCATATAGTTCAACGGCGTTTTGCACACGTTTTAATCGATCCGCCCCCTCCGCGCATATAAGTACCACAATAAAGAATAGCTACTTTAATAATATGGAAAAACTCTTTTCAAATAATATATGAAACTACTATTAACCTCGATTCTATTTTATATCCTCCGAAGGTTGTGGTTTTTCTCGCCGATGACCCACCGGCTAGATATATTATGATACGTACATTTGTACGCACTAAACGCATGTTACATCATGTTACTGTACAGAAGATAGGTAGAAAATTACTTTCTAGGGTTCTTCTATTACACAATCGCATAAATTATAATAAATTGTATTTTAACGATATCAAAATAAGGATCCTTAAACAAAGGTAAATTACATGTGTAGGTATAGTTTGTTTATAAACCTTTACCTACTTTGTATTCAGAGAAAATAATTGTAACCGTACCAATATGTAGGTAGGTAGGAATTTAACACAAATTTGTAATAATATGATTACTTCAGACTTATTTTAAAACCTATTATTTCAACTAAACATTTTTTGTACTGAATTTTCATTTCAATTAAACTCGATTTCTGTCCAGCATAAATGTACGTGTTAATGCATACTTATCCAGAAACCATTAACGCTTTAATGTCTACTTCCCCACTACTTCCTATGATGGCTACAATCAGCCTTGTGCAAAATACTGCACCATGCTAATTTTAATAATTTAAATTTTTGAATAAGTCTTTAACTTGTCGATTATCTAAGATATTAATTTGTTATTTATATTATTTAATTTCTTATAGTTTATTATTTTAATGTTCTGCTAATATGTAACAATTGATTGTTTAGCCGCCGATGGACGAAAAAAAAAATATTATATTGAGTTTCATGCTTATTCGAGCAAGCTATTTTAAAACAGATTAGACAAAAAAAAAACAAAAAGAAAAACTATATTATTATTGTAAAACCTCTGGAAAAACCAATACACTTTTAGCATTGCCATTCACAATCCAACAGTAGGTATTATACGCATGGTTTATAATTTAATTGGTGTCTCTATATCAAATCGTTCTTTAGTTTTTAACACTGAAAACAAAAATTCATTAATGTAATTGTTTTTGCAATATATAAAAGTATATTAGTAACTGAAATATTTTTTGAAAAATCCAGCTTACACATAGTTCTGTTCGTCATATCGAACAAATTTGTTATAATTTTTAATTAATTATCAATTTCAATTGTTTATTAGTTTTTATTTAAATATCGTTCTATTTATGTATCAAATATTTTTTCGATGTCATGTTTTGTTGACTTTGATTATATTTTTTTAGAGTTTGATTTAACATTACCTACGTTCAAACTCTATCAGCCTTATAAATAAAACAACAATTCACACCTCGCCTATAAACATTGTTACAATATTATGTTTTATTTATTTTTGATTTGAAATTTTTTTTTGTCGGATAGGTATTTTTTCAAGAATGTGCTTTTGAGATATTCTTACTTATACGTACAAATAAACAAAGTTGACGAATGGTTTTAATTCTTTTAAAAACTAAACTTTGACCATATTTCTTTATTTTGTATACCTTTTAAAAAATTATAATGACTGCAACCGAGGATTTATTCTTACTTTAATACTCCTAGGGACTAAAGATCACGATATTTCCTAAAGAATATTATAGGTACGATATAAACATAATGTCCATATCCATTTATCGTATTTTCATATTTTATAATATTATTACGTCTTAAAACCTTACCTATATAAAAAACAAATTATATAATTATTTGATATTACAATATAGTCTCATTAAGTATAATGTTTTTCATTATATTATTTCACCACCGTCGTCCAACGACGTCTCATTTTTTCCCCATTAAAAAATATTTCCTGTTCAGTAAATATACTTTAACAATGTATTCATGTACGGTTTTTTTTTTTGTTATTTATTTTACAGAGTCTGTCATACTATAATGGCGTCCGAGTTCACTAGTTTTATGGCTGCTATGCTTTTTGCTATTCACCCCATACACACAGAGGCCGTAAGTATTATTCAGTTATTTATATTTATTATAAGCTATATAAAATCGCGTGTTTATTTTTGGGTATTAACACTGTAAATATTTTTATAATGAATAAAACCCAAAGGGAAATTTAATCTTTGACTACCATGACATTTTCATAAACTACGTCTTCGTGACATGTATATAAAAGCTATTCGCAATTTAAAATGTTGTCTAATTAAATTTAATGTAGAATATTTGCATACAATCTAGTCTCCACGCATTTGATTTATTTTTTTTTTTTTGATATGTGTGCAATTTATTATAATTGTTTAATACAATTAGTTTGTTGTATTTTTTCAATACATAATAATGACTTGGTGTGAATAAGAAATTAATAATTTATACTAACTACTTAAATTAGGTAGATACTAATTGCTCACATCATTCATATAAATCATTACACATTATATATCTTGGTTTATTATCCAGATGCCTTGCACGAGTAACGTTGCTTTTAAATTTACACAATGTTTAGTATAAAAATTAATGTGAATTAATTAATTATTACGGAGAGCTCGTCAGGTAAAAACAACCATAACAATCGTTAACGAATACCACGAAATGTAAGTAGGAAAAAAACCTGAATTGTATTGTAATTACATAGGTAGTTAATAAGCTTCTGTGGTTGAAGTTCAAGATCAAAAAAAAAACAACAAGAAAAGGCATAGTTATTTTTTGTTTATATATCAATATTGCACTTTTGTAATTTTAACAATATTACGGATACATTGTTTAATTTTGAACAAAGTGTTTTTGGAAACATACTTTTTAATATTCAAACAAAAGAGAAAAACCATTACACTCGATAGTTATTATCATCGCATATATAGGTATCTGCAATATCGATGATTGCAAACTTATATTTAGCGAATTCTCCGTCGTTTCAGTTTGCAATACACGGCTGTTTATAAAAAATTTCACGTAATGATACAAACATCCGTCTAGAGGGAGTTGATTTGCATACAACGTACGCCGTTGGGTGGGGACGCTGCAAGCGATTTGAGCTTATTAATAGGCTTGCGCCCTCACTAGTTGCGTGTCGAGAGCCTTGCAGGTTTAAAAAAAAAGAAAAAGAAAGTCAGGAGGGTGTAGTGTTTTAATATTATTTTTATTAGCCTTTCGCATAATAATGCCCTATATATACCTCCACATACAATCCTACGGTATGAGAGTCTAGAAACCAACAACAATATTGATCGGCCGACCTATAACCTCCCGTCTCTCATTTTGCTATATTATATTATTATTGTTTATCGTTTGTCGGGACTCGAAGATCTCGTAAGTCTGTAGATTTCGTGTGTTACCGTATAACACAACAGACCAGCGAATGTCCATCGGCTGTATCGCGTACGTGCTCGGACCGCAGATACCGATGAGCGTCAATTTAGGTACCGTTCAATATATAAAGTATTTGTCGAGGTATTTGTGATATTGCTGCAGTTATTGGTGGACTGTTCTCAGATTTCGTCAGCCATTTTATTGACATTCAGTGATGGATGAATCCAATAACGCTCGCTTACTAAACATAAACATCGACGTTTCGAAACTGATTTATTTGTGTTTGTAAAATTCCCGAACAGCGAACGTCTGGTTTTTGTTTTAAACGCACGTATCATCATTATCGACGTCGACAATTTGCTTCGTCCATGGTTCATTCGTAACACAACAGATATTTTCGAATAGATTATAAGCATTATTCGAACTCAACTTTTGTACATTTGTGTAAACGCTCGAGTTTGTATGGACTTATTTACTTAAAACGAGCTTTGTCAGAATAAAATGAGTATATTTAACTTTGTAAAATTAATTTGCATTGGCTCGCACTACCATTAACAATATCATTGACAACCCTTCCTTCATCTACTTAATATACGCAGGTCTCGTTATTTTCAGTCATGCAATTTACTCGTTAAGCAGAAAAAAAGCGAAAATCTGATAAAATATAATACTGTACAAAATTATTAATGTTTTTTAAATGCCGATTTAAATGTACGAATTATAGTATAATTTGTGATGATGTGTATAGAATTGTATTTAAATTCATGTTTAATGCAGTACGAATTTTCCTTAAGGTCCCTGCAAATCTTATCCATTTTTCATCAAAACGACCTTGCCGGTGACTGACAAAAATTAATGGTTCGATTTAAAAAATGCAAACATTTTTGATTTGATAAAGAAATTCGGTTTGCATTGGTTGGTCAGTGCATGTATTCTATATTTTTAATGGTTTTTAATATCTTTAACATACGGTTTTAGAAATGAAAGCAACTTAAAATGTTGTTCCCGTCAAGAATTTGCTTAAGTTGAAAAAGTGTTAAGTAATTGACTTGTATATGCATTCAAAGCTCTTTACATTTTTTTTTAAATCTGACTTTTGGAAGTACTTAAATTGTTGTTGTCATGCGTATTGCTATTTCACGGCCATAAATGTATTTCGAATATTTTTCTGGGGAGCTTGCACTCACTTATTATAATTTATTACACATACGCTTAGACGAACTATGGCCGCAAGGACCGATATAATTGTCTAAACACAACTCCTTAAAAACACACGTTTACAGGGTCCATTAAGCAAACGAATGTACCAAACACAATGTGATGATTTCTAAAAAATCATTGAAATGTTTAAAACATTTTGGAATTATTTTTACTTTGCGTTAGTTTGGGGTGTGTACACTGTACATATTACATTTATATATATTGAATTCATATAAAGTAAATTAAAACGAATGTTGTTGACAGTTACACATTGCTTGACATCTAAGTATGAAAGTGACATATTTTAAGACCAGTTAGTATGTAACTTTAGACGACTGTGTAGTAATTTAAAGTTTAATATCAAACCATTGATGGACAGTAATTAATTTTTTAACTTTTTTGCTGTCTTAAAGTTTTGAAGGTTACACGCTATTATTCTGCAATGTGAGAAAAAGTTTTGTACACAACTTGCAGCCCTACTCAGTTTTACTGAAAAATAGTTTCAAAACTACAGAGTTCTGTAATCGGTAACTTAACAAATCCGTATTCTTGACAAAATTAAGATGTGATGAAAACACAATATAAGTGTATTTGAGTGGGAAAAAATTAATAATTAACAACCGAGTAAAAATAAAAGATGATTTTTTTTATTCTCGATGAAGATATTAATTGGTTTGACCCTCACAGGTGTAATTGAGTTGTTAGTAGCGAAAAACGAGTGCTCTACAAACACAACCCAAGCGTCGAACGACTAATGAATAATATATAAATGCCGAGTGAAATGTCGTTTGTTCAAAAGTCCACAGGGATTCTTTTCAAGGACATACAGAAAATATCCTGCGACCCGTTTAGAGTATAATTAAACAAACACAGAAAATAGAGGTTTTTATAAGTCTTCGGCTGTGCCAAGTTCTCTGTTATTTGAATATTTAAAAGAGAAACTTCGTTGTCGCTCTACGAAAATTATTTGTTCATTTTTTTCCTACCTCCATTATACAAAGCATAGATAGATATATATAATTCACGATAAGTATCTTTAATTTAATATCTTTTTTATTCGTACATAAACAAATCAAATTTACAATTGCCTAAGTAGTTTTGGGTGTTTCACTACTGTATGTCACTTATCTGTATGCATACCCTGGGAATGAAAAATACTGACATAAATCGATAGTTTTGAACTTCTTAAGGATTTTCTAATATATATATGATTGACATAACAAAGGTAAAGTCAAAGAATCGACGCACCATTTGTAAATTCATTTGTGCCCTTTTTCGAGGACTATTGGCATGCGCATTTGATTTGGTAAAACACATATGCCATAAATCATCACGGAGATCTGACAATAGGTGTGGTTTGGTCTACCGATTTGAGTGTCTAGAGTTATCGCATATCGATATTCCTAAGCGATATCAATTTTAATTAAATGTCCCTAAAATGTACAGTCGGTGAACGGGGTGAGAGAGGGGGCAGAGAGAGATAGGAGAGAGAAAAATGTACATTTCATTCCAATGTGCATTATTATAACGCACCAACGGAGTAATCCTAAATTAATATCTGGCAGTGAAACGTCCCTAGACGAGTGGGTCCAATTAAATCTGAGTTCGTGGTATACCCATTGAAACTTCCCATTCGTAAAACGATAGTATTTTGACATTTAAACAACAATCAAATAGTGTTACTTACCATATTATTGCCGAAATGTATTTTTATTTTTTTAATGTACCTATATTTTTAATTGTTATAATTGATCTTCAAATTGATATATATATATATATATTATATATATATATCAGGTAGGTATATAATATATATACTCAAATTAGTAAATTCATTAATTCATTTGTGAATCTACTATGCAATTAAATAATTCAAATAATTTTGATAAATAAAATATTTACTATTTGAATAAGATATTCAGTAAGAAAAAATAATTATTTTAATAAATATTCATAATATATATTTGCGCGAAAATATTTATTATTTGTTTAAACCTATGTATAGCCTATAAAAAAATGTAACTCTACTTTTTAGTATAGGTGTTCAAACATTGAAACTTCTTGTTCCAAACAGTACCTAACTACTAATTTCAATTTCATATCCACTACATGCTATAGGTACCTATCACTTAATGTTTGGTTGTTTATATATACTAATAAAATTAAAAAGTCAATGTAACAATGTACCAACCTTTTTAAAGTTTGAAAATAAAAATATAATTAAGTTTAAAAACTTTGGAATATCAATGAGTTTATAAAATGGTATTAAAAATTGTGTTTTTCTAGTTTAATTTAAACATACATTATTAATTTAGAGACCGGGGAAACAAATGTCATACGCTTGTATTTATGTTCATGCCTCGTTTATAATTTAACTTAAATATTTCTGACTATTACGTCAACTTTGAATCCACATTTAATAGGTACTTAAATTATGTTAAAAAATGTTAAATTTTCAAATTAAAACCATCCTAAACAAAAATTTTGTGGACTATGCATAGTAAAATCATTATATTATTATAAAAACCATCCCTATTAAATAGGTCAGTGAGTAGTTTAGCATAACAATTACAGACATGTTATTACATTTTAGAAGATTATAATTTTGCTTTGTTCTTCTGATTATGAGATGAGAAAGGATGATTCTAACTAATTGTCATTTAACATGCACGGTTGGGTCATTAGCAAACGACCGGACGATGTAGTGAACAATATAAAGGACAGCAGAATTAGGCAGGATAAACATTGTTATAAAATAGTAGCTTTAGTAAGAAAATGTTTTATAAAATATCCAAAAATATGAATTCAACAACAAAATAATATTCAAATGGCTTATTATTATTTATTTTGGTGTAAATGCCCTAGATTTAAATACCATTTTCTGAAAATTACTTTTATTTCGCTCGCAATAATTGAATATGCGAATAATATTGTACTGAGCACCAACCTAACAAATGTTTATAAACTCACTAATTATATTTGGTTTGACCTATGTTTTTTAGGTGACTGGTGTGGTGGGACGAGCAGAGACGCTATCGTCGGTATTTTACTTATCTGCGTATCTATTGTATACAGAAGCAACCAAAAGGAAAAAATATTCCGGTAAATAAATTATGGTCTTTTGATTTTTTTTTTGAAAAGTGAATAAATTAAAAATATAATAAAATGTAATTACTTTGTGTTATTAAAACTCAATGATACAATTATTGCCTTTCAGGATGGAAGCCTTTAACACTTTCTGTGGTTTGCTTGTGCGTAGCTATGCTGTGCAAAGAACAAGGGATCACAATAGCCGGAGTTTGCGCTCTTTACGAAGTTTTCGTCGCACAAAAGGTAAAATTGGTTTATAAATATTTTAATAATGCGCTTTACTAGTCTAAGAACTCAAATTTACAATTGACAAGTTTAATCAGTGGTTATTAAATTGTATTAGCAACAAAAGATTTTAATTATGGTTTTCAAATATCAATGTAATGGTTAATAATTTCATTTTTATAAAATATGTGTTAGAGCTTAACTATACCTATTTTGTTTGAAAGCAAATGTAGTTGATAGTTTTATTTTTCAACTATTTTTTTTTAATACCATGAAACATACTAATATTTAATATTCCCTACCAAAACAATATTAGAATCTGAAATAGAAATTACTCTAACAGTCTTCAGTCGTTTCTCGGCAACTGCATTTTCTATTAGCATAGTTTTCGTGATTGTATTCTAAGGAATTCAAACAGATCTTCGCGGTCTCTACGCATTCCATAAGAGGAACAATTAAATATAATATTGTCATTTATTATAAAACTGTATAACTCGCTGACATAGGAACGACTATACCTAAATTGTAATGGGTGCTAAAACTGTGTGAATATCTCACCGACCCGCCTACAATATTCATCGCATAAGAGAAATCTTCAGGCATGCGTTTTTGTCTCTAAAAATTAAAACGTCGGTGGCGATTGTAACTTTAGTTTTTATTTTTGCTGCTGTTGTGAATGGAGCATAATAAAATATGATATTATAAATACACCTGACGTTGTTTGCTTAACCCTTTTCCGGATAGAGCATTAATTCTTCTTGGATTAATCCCTACACCCTGTATTCTTGTACTGCTCTGTCGAGGTATACCTATCTCTTGTAACCTACTATTCATGATAGAAAAGAATAATGCACCAGAACCTTTGTAAATAAAGAATTTTTTTATTATCCTTTTGCTAATATTTTTTACAATCGGCTTAGTTTTTTTTCTATTTTTACTGTGATTAACCGTTTAGGTTCTGGGCGGCGTAGCGAGAAAGTTATTGGTTTTATAAATAAGTAATTATAAAGGTTTTTTTTTTTAATTTGCATTAAATCTACTTGCGCGATGACTGGATGAGCTTAAAAATAATTTTCTATCCATTCTCAATGAGTGTTATTTTAAATTACCTGCAGTAATTATTATTTTCTCTTTTACATAGAAAGTCAAAAACCAACTCTGTTTTTATTAATTATTAACATTTTTATATGATTCCGCCTCCACTTTATACAAATTAATTATTTTTAATTATCTGATAAAAAATAAAATATTTTTTTCACGTACGTACTTCTATCTTCAAATAAATGAACTGTATCGGAATTTAATACAATATTATTTCTATAATATTATATCTACCAAATATTAAAACTTATTGTTTATTGTTGTATACTTGATTTAGTATATAGTAATGAAATATTACTGTATTACTATTTTACATATTCTGGTTACTTCGTATTGTAACGGAATAAGCGCGTTGATGGATTCCATTCGTCGTTATTGCGCAACGAAGGATGACTTGAAAATAAATCGAATTAACTCACTTCACTCGCGTTCAAGACAATGTTATTAATCCGGACATAAATCCTGCGGTATTAATGAAATTGCTTATACGCATCTCAAGCAGGCAATAAATTTGTCGTCAAACATTTAGTGTTGTTATTCGAAAATCGTTGAATAAACTAAATCAGAAATATTTGTCCAGGAAAACTGGAAGTAATGTGACTGCCAAAAAGACAATAATATTAATACACCTGCCTTTCAAAATATGACTTTCTACAGTTTCCAAAAATATATTGTGACGACAAATAAATCGAAATATTTTCGTTTTCTTTTATTCAAATGGTGACGGATCGGGAGTAATTTTGTATCAAATAGTTTTACAACTCCTTTTTTGGTAATTTGACTTTTATATACGTAGGTACTAGCATTCAATGACTCTGAATCTAAAATGTATTTGAAAAAATGAATAAATATATTATTTTGTAGTATTGATTTTTAGATTTAGTGGGAATTTATAAAGGTTTATAAATATAATTGAAAACTATTTAAAAACTTACGAATTATAGTCGTTTGATTATTTTTTATAATCAAATTAAATTTCAGTTTTACAGATTTTTATCAATTTTAATCAATTTGTATACATACATTTAAATAGTTTACACTCACTAAAAATAAATGCTTAAACGTCTAAAATCAGATTGTTAAAAGTTCGAAATTTTCCTCTAAGCCTTTAATACAATGTGTTTTCAATTGATTTTACAATTCTTAGTACAAGATCCCGTTAAGTCTTTGATCGTAAAAAACCATAGTCACAATGGTTACGATTGAAATTTATGTAGGGCCGAAAAACTTTTAACATCCCCTCCCCTAAAAAAAAAAATAAACCATTATTATATTGGACATTACGCCATTAAATCTTTTTTCCTTTTTTTACTGCTGTCCAACAATAGGAGAACACAAGGATAAACTCATGTGTGCGTATACGTACAACAACAATAAAAACCCTATGGTGACCCTCGACTCGACCGGAGGATCGATTTCACTGGCCTGCTAAGTATGTTTAAAAATAAATGAAAACCACATTTAATCATAAAGCATATTTATTATAACATTTTATATATTTTTTCTAAAATTGGAAAATACACGGTTTTTTTTGGGTTTGTTGGGAACAATTGCATTTAAATATTTCTGTGTTCCCGGGATGTCACACCGAGATAAATTATTAAGCCTGCGCTTAGTTTCTCGTCCCATATCCAGTATTTCCGTAGAATTTATAAGCTATAAACAGGAAATGATATATACCTACGTGGACTGAAATTTGTGTTAACAATGTTTTCACTTGACGTCCTTTACAAACAAATCGTCGTACAAAACGAAACGTGGATGGTATTATTGCAATTGTTGGGAAGTTTACATGAATGGCCCTGTATAAATATAATATAAATGTTCAATCATACATAACTAGGTACCAAATCAATGTTAGGCATTTAAATACATATGAATTAAAAATTTATTTTACTACTAGCAATATTTGTCTGTAGAGATTTGATACTTAGATTTATATCGAAAAAATATGTTTATTTTAATTGTAAAGTAGGTATTATTGACTTCATAACCATGATCTTACGAGGCAAACATTCCTTTATGTAATTATGTTATAGTATTTATGTATTTTGTTTCAATTCAAACAATCAGTAGGTGTAATTACTTAATAATGGTATAACAATAATGTTATTATGCTTAATTCAATAATAATAATATGCAATTCAAAATAAAATAATTATATATCATGTTCACGTGCAATTCTTTAAAGTTTAAATAATCTACATTTTAAGCACAACTTAGATTTGAAAATCAAAAACCAGGTTGATAACATTTCCATCTTAAAATAGGTACTTTAAACTTTAATATGTTACATTCAATGATGCATAAATAATATGAAAACTAACAAATATTAAAGTATTTAGTTGAGTTTATTTGAATATATTTACTGGACATTAAAATACAACGACTTAAATCAGTATTTTATTGAAATTTGAAACATTTATATATTGTATTATTTATGATACAAATAGTAAATACTCACATTAAATTGATTGTAAACCTCTTATAACACATATAATATGTAGTTTCTGTTTTGTATGATCTTTAAGTTTGGAAATCACATCGATAATAAAATAAAATGTTTTGCAGTTTTATTGTAGATTCTAAAAAGTGTGATTTTATAACTTACAATTTTTCTTAAAATCTTTTTCTTTGAATTATCATTTATCACTGTCAATAATTTTTCCTACTTTTGAGTAATATATTGTGTTGATGTAGCTACCAATTATACAATAATTATTAAGAAAGATCTTTTGTATTTGTATTTTATCTTTTTCTTTGAAAGCTCACTACAACATTTATAGTATACTTTTTATACGAACTGAGAATAGTTACCGTTTTAACAAAAAATAAAATCGGTTTGTTGGAAAACATTATAGTGTGTCCCTTGAGAATTGTATTAAGTTTAAAACTATCGAAGTTATCAATGAATATTATAAATTGACGTTCATACAATAAACAATAACAAAAATACAATGAATAAAATCAATGGATGGACTTACTATAAAATCGTTTTAAATACTGTATTCGTTATTCGTATTATTAAAGACAATTTAGTTAAAAATATTAATTTATAACTTCGTAATTATAATATTATACGAGTTCTTTTTTTTACTGAGAATTCGTTGTCAACCGATACGCCATCTCCATCTTTGCGGTCTTGATTATGTATATTATTATGTGCGACATTGAAATCCGATTCGAACGATGTGGTTCTTTACTGAGCTGCACTGCAGCGGGCATGTATTTAAATACAAACATTCTACCCTGCGACGGAACGGACGGGTAAAAACGTTTGCGTGTTTGGAACTAGTCAAGGCCACAACAAAGATGGAGAGTTGATTATAATATAAGAGCGCGTCGTTTCTGGTTAGGCATTAAGGTTAATTTTTCACTATTATGGACGACGACGACGACGTGGAAAAGTTTTCTTTTTTCCTTTTGTGCTACAGCCACGACCGCCGCCGCCGCCGCCTCCGCTGTCTATCCTTGGGTGTTTAAATTTTAAGCCTTCCATTCCACCCTCGTCGTCCACAACCCTTGCCGGTGGCGCTGCTGCCTCCGCCACCGCTGGGAAATTATATTTATTATTCACGGCGGTGATATACACGACGCGTGCAGTATATATACGTATAGTCTCACAATACCGAGTATAGTGGCGGTGAAAAGCACACGAGTTAATTACGAAAGTAAAACGACACGACTAACAACAATAAGCCTCGTCCCCCATACACACCGTGTTCCGCCCCCCGTGCGCTTAGTCGTCGGCATCGTCTTGCGGGCGGAAGACGACGATGACGACGACGCTTACAGTGTTCTCATCCATGCCATCTGGGCACACATGCCGTTCGCCCTAAAAATTGAAAAGTTTTCACAGTCAAGTGGTGGACCTCGGCTGATGCGCGTCGTCGTCGTCGTCGTCTTTCTTTTGAGAC